ACTTCCCAGAATCTGACTTGGAGACAGGCACAATGGTCCATCTGGTTATCTCAATTCAATTTCTTCCTGATGCATAAACCTGGAAAGATGAACACTCGGGCAGATCCCCTATCACGTATCCCTTCTCTCCCAGTAACAGATGGGGAGGATAAACAGGGTCAGATCATGCTAAACCCGAGTGGTTCACAAAGATCTCTGCAGACCAAACTGAAGTGGTCACCCCACTAGAGGATCATCTTCATCAAGCAAGCATGTGTGAAGCCGAAGTACTTCAAGGGCTGAAAGCCTTGAAAGAGCATGGGCCATGTAAGCTGATGAATGGACTCCTCAAATGGGAAGAAGAGGTGGGTATTGTCTACCACAAAGGGAAAATCTATGTCCCTGCTGACGAAGGGCTGCACACCGAAGTATTATGTCAATGTCATGATGTGCCCATGGCAGGACACCCTGGGAAGAACAGTACCCTGGAGCTGGTTGACCATTACTATTGGTGGCTGGGTATATCTAGATTCATGGAGAAGTATGTAGCTGGGTGTGATTGCTGTCAGAGATACAGGCAAGCATCTCATCCACCTGCTAAGCTCCACCCGCTACAAGTACCACGAGGTCCCTGGATCATCATTGGAGTAGACGCTGTCACTGGACTTCTGAAGTGTAAGGGGTATGATGCTATCATCACATACATCAACCTCTATGGCAAGCAAGCCCACTTCCTTGCAAGTACCACGGATGTCAACACCTCTGGGATAATTGACTTGCATTATCAAGAGATATTCCGACTTCATGGGATCCCCAATGAGTTTGTGTCAGATCGAGGTCCCCAGTTCTCTGCTAAGCTAATGCAGGAACTGTACAAGAAGCTCAGAATAAATGCAAGTCTCACTACAGCATATCACCCCCAAAGTAATGGTCAGACAGAGTGCACAAATCAGGAAGTTGAAAAGTATCTACGACTTTTCTGCAACAAATGCCAAGACAATTGGGTCAATCACCTACCCACCATGGAGTTCGTATTCAACTCCCATGTCTCATCAGCCACCGGGTATAGTCCGTTTGAAATCATGTACAGGTATCAACCTGATTTCATGGTACCACTGGGCCAAAAGAACTCCATCCCAGCACTTGACCAGTGTCTCAAAGATCTTGCAGAAATATGCAAGGAGGCAGAAGCAGCTCTATGCTTAAGTAAAGAGCATATGAAAGAGTCCCACAATAGTGACAAAGCACTGGTATTCAAGGAAGGAGACAAAGTAATGTTAACTTCCAAAGATATCAAAATTCACCAAGCAAGCCAGAAGCTTGGGCCACATCAAATAGGACCTTTCACTGTCATTCAAGTAAGAGACAACGACAACTATGAGCTAGATTTACCTCTGGTGCTAAAGATTCATCCTGTATTCCATGTCAATCGACTCTCTCTGTACAAAGAAACAGAGGAGAATGGCAAGCCACCACTTCCAGAACCTGTAGAAGTCGATGGAGAAGAAGAGTGGGAAATTGAATGCATCTTGGATAGCCGGTTCTATTGTTGCCAGTTCCAATATCTCATACACTGGAAAGGCTTTGATGAGGGACACAATAGCTGGGAACCAGCCAAGAACGTTACCCATGCTGAGGAAGCGATCAAGGAGTTTCATCAGATGAATCCCAATGCACCACGCAAAATCTCTGCTACTGGATTCAGCAAGATCAAATGGAGACCACAAGAGAATTTCATGGAAATCCAGCCCTCAGACCTTGAATGGGAGGTGGGCAGGCATCTGGGCAAGAGTGTGTTGAGGACGACACAGTTTTAGGAGGGGGGTAATGTTGTGGTAGGCACAGCTAGGCCCTATTTTTGCCTATATTTTTACTATTTATCTTGCTTTACAATGGACTTGTACTATACGCTCAATAAGGACTTTGCCTGGAATAGCATTCTGACTAGTCATGTGACATAACCTCATACTAGGGTTTATCTTGTAGCACATGACTCACTGACTCATATCCCAAGGCTGGAGATATGGTAGATCACATCATCTTGCATTATTGGTAGATAGCCAATGGTGTAAGTACCTCATGCATGTGATGGCTGTTGTTGAAAGGAGTGAAATGGAAGTGGCTGTGAAGGCAGATGAACAAACCTGTGAGGGGAACTGCTCGAGGGAACCCGTTAGGCACACGGGAGAGCAGAGGAAGGAATGATTGCATTAGAGGGCATTTGAGCCCAGTATATATACACAAGAGGAAGACATTATCTGATTGTATAGTATACCTATCAGATGATGTCTGAGTCGTGAGTCATCATCATAAGCTTCATGAATAAGTGTTGGTAAGATGGTAAACGGAACTATAGATAACCATCAATATCATATGACAAGGGAACGGAGTTCCGATACCAAATGGAGTACCAAATGGAGTCCAAATGGATACCAAGTGGAATGCCGAATGGAACTCGGTATAATCAACTATCTATAGATAAGAAGAAAAGGAATGTAATCTACATACAGTAGCGTAGCAGAACATAAGATAAGTCCTTATCAGGAGAGCCTGATTATATAATGTATGAAATAGTAGAAGTTCAACAGCTGTCTGATGTAGGAGTCCTGCCCTAAACCTCAGGGGTATAAGTAGAGTAGCTCGTAGTCCTAGCACTCCATCTCGTCCTCTTGGAGTGCTAGGTAATGTCCAATGGCAAATTTGACACAATACTAATCTCATTGTCAGGTGCCGGAAGCAAATGGGAGAAGAGGTAGAAATGGAGGAATTGGTGTAAGGGGAACCTGGGCTTTGTATCACAGCAGATGGACTATTTTGGATACAATAGATATGGAGCTTACTGTGCTGCAACCATAGCAGGATGAGTTTTTGTTCTTCTTTCTTTTGTTCTAACAAAAGGTAGGCAGGGACAAAAGGATGCACAAGCATGTGATTTCACTAACAATAAGGAGCAAGTAATATTGTTATCCCAAAATGGACACATAGGTATTTGTTCTTTTGTTCATGCCTTTTGTTAGTAGATTCCTATTGTCCTAAAATTCCCACGGGAAAGGGTATAAAAGGACGCCCGTTTCCCAAACGGGTAGAGACATCTTGTACCTGTACCACCATCATCTCCTGAGCTGGACAGTGTCCTGCAGTGAGACTGGTTACCTACTTACTTGAATACAATCTAGCTTTCATCTGAAACTACTGAATAGCCAACTGGGCTACATCTGACTAACTGGAAGGTCAGCAACTGAAGTGAACTAGTCAAGAGTGCTAGTTATCAAGTCAACAGAAATCAATAGTCAAGAGTACTATTGTCAATAGCAAGTCATACTAACACAGTGTTAGTCAAGTAACAAGAGAACACTAGCAAGAGTCTAGTAACCTAAGAAGAACAGAACACTAGCAAGAGTCTAGTAACATAAGAAGGCATACTAACTAGGAGTTAGTATATATCATAACAACATACAACCAAACCACCTTACTATAATTAGGAAGTCTTAACTACTTTCTCCTATAGTAACTTACTTAGTATTGACTTGATAGTTGTACTTCCCAAGAACAAAGGGGAGAAGTTTGTCTTTGCTCAGGACCAACCTATCCTCTGGTGTTTGACAAGGGTTTAAATATCCCAACCACTCACCGTCTGTCAGTAAGCACATGTATTTGTTCACTGTTCAGTAATATTAACTTGGAGTGCTAGTGTTCTAAACCTAGTCCATGTGAACGCTGACTTCAAGTCCTTTCAGACCCAATTGGTGAGTATCATACTCACTCAGCTTCATCTGTACGGGGTCATTCCCAGCGAGATCTTTCTCGCTTCCAATGTGCATGTCAACCTAGTTCCTCAACAACGTGAGTCAGCGTTAGTAAGACAGAAAGCCGGAACTCCTGGTTACTGGTAATATCATATGCTAAGGAGCGGAGGCCCAGAGGTCCGTAATCTAATCTACTGAGTCAGGACGAGAGATAATAAGTCCTGCAGATAAGATAAGAGTGAAAAAGGAAGGTGAGTGTACAGTAAGGTATGTAGCATTGCAGAACACTAGATAAGTCCATATCAGGCAAGCCTGATAAGATAACACCTGAAATGGTAGAACTTTAACACAAGTTGGAGTAGAGAATCTGGATGGATAACAGACCTATATGGATAATTGTCTGCAATGATGTCAGGCTCAACTATCCACATGCCTGTGCAACATTCAGGCTCATTGTCTGCAAGCTCAAACCACTCAACAAGGGTGCATGGATAGGAGGTGTCTTTGTGTCAGAAGGAGAAGAGAAGGTGGACACAAGCAGCATGCATGCTCTGCATTCCTTGCTGTTGTTACAAGTGATGTTATGGGTGACTATGGTATGTGACATGGACATATTTTCATTTCTTCTTCAGTCATCTCTGGCCCAGCCATGCCCCTTCATGGTCCAGCCCTGTACTATATGCTTAGGGATTGGGGAACATTTTCCCCTCTAGGATGCTGCTCATTTGCTATCTCCTATATGCCTCACCTTCTGACCCATTCCCTTGACCACCCTCATGTTTACCTCACTGTGCAGTTTCTCCTATTCATCATCCAGTATATCCCTCACTCTTTGCTAGTCTTCCAGGACATTGGCAAGACACACCATTCCTTGTCAAGGCTTGCCAAGACATTTTGATTTTTCCTGATGTCCTCTACCCATGTTCTTCTCACACTATGTCTTCAGTAAGACATTCTTCATATTCTGGGTTGCATGTACAATGTGAGTAATCACTATTCAAGGAATGTTAATGACTCCATCATGACAAAACTCTCATCATGATAGGATCTGGGTGGGCATGAGTGGTGTGTTGTTTTGTATCATGCTACCTATATGGGGAGGAGCTCGTGTTACTAGGCAATAGTTTGATCTGCAGAAGATCTTTGTAGAATCTGTGTAAGAAATGTGACATAAAAAATTAGACCTCAGTGATGACAAAAACAATGGCCATTTTAGTACATGCACATTGATACTATCAATAGCATCCGGAGAGAAAACATAGATTCCTGATTTAATCCTTCGAACCGGGCTCGAACCAGTGACCTTGAGATCAATACGTAGCCATTACAGTCTCACGCTCTTCCAGCTGAGCTATCGAAGGATCGGAAAAGGCTGCTCCGAGTAATACATCATACTCAGTCCTCCTCAAAGCACTCGGCGCTGTTTCGCGAAATGCTTTCGAATTTTGAACTGGATTATATCTGTATCATGTCTTGTGTGAATTTAGTGGTCGATTGAACTACAGGTAACAAATATTGCAATTGAAATCATCCTCTCCACTTACATAAAAAAGGCGGAAAGAGTCAAACGACTACTTGATAGTGTCGCACACTCGCTTAAATAAGCGAAATTACATAACATCGTCAGGCTTGCCAGTTTTGTATCAGCTCTCTCCTCGACCTTGCCGTCGAGAAGTTTTCCTGACTCCTAGCTTCGCATTCGCTTTACATATTATATGCGTTTTCGCCCGAAAGGCAAGATCGTACCGTCGTTGAAGTCAGTTCACCATGCAGGGCAGCCAGTCCGGGGCCAACGGGGATGTATGCAGCAAGTTATCGACTGACTCCAGGTATACGGATCTCATCACCCAGAGGAGCAAGCACACACTTCACCTGATACGTCTGCCATTCAGCACCCGGAAATACCTCAACATAGAATGGCACTGGGGCTTGCGCAGGCGGCAATCCAATTTGCGGATGCCGTTCCACGCAGCACGCCGGCGCGCGGGCTGTTACTAGCGGTCGTGTACACCGTCTAGAGGCTCACGAAGATCTGGGCGCTGATCGAGTCAGAGCGGCGGTGGGAAGTCCTACGCTCGATATTGTGTTAGATGGGGCGGTAGGTGCGGGCATCGATCACGGCCGGGGTCCTCTAGTTGGCTTCGAGCAGTGCGGTCTGTTCGACTTGCCCGGGTAGAGGCCCTCCCTTTCGTCCGCGGTGGACAATATCTCCAAAGTATCGTCCTCATTGCAATCGGTGGAATCGAAGACCTCTGCCGGGACCAGGGTTGCAGGATCGCCTTCGCGGCATTGCTGTGGTGATGTTGGTCAGCGTGCCGTTATCGCGATGTCTGCTTAGAGAAACTCGCCTTCTTGTTCCTCCATAGAAGTGTCGTTCTTTCGTGTCTCTGCCTCTTGGCCTCGCATATCTGCTTGACCCATGGTTATATGGCTCCTTGGCTCTGCCTGCATTTACAGTGAGCTGAGCCTCGACAAGCCTGCCAAGAGGACTTTACAAGCTCAAGACGTCTGTGTCTACCGCATCGCTGGCTGCACTCTCCCGAATGCGCCTCATGAGTACTCCAGAGCAACTCTCCAGCGTCTGGGCACTTTTTCCGTCATATGCAATGTTGCCTCAATATCCCGGCAGACTACGCACCCTGGGGGCTCAAGGACCATATCATCGTGCGCTATCAGGCTCTACTCTGCATCACCCATCCGACCATCCCAGTGCCGCGCAAGAAGCATTGGTCAGAGCGGTCTGGTCAAAGTTTCAGCTGCCCCGAGAGAAAAGGCAATGTCTCGATGCAGGAAGGCATATGGAGATTCAGAATCGTAGCTTGGTATGGCTATTCCACATCCGCCAGACCTTCGTACGGATGGCCACCATATTTACTCCCAAACTTGCGACTGAAGTCCTCGGTCCTGGTGAACTGATAGGGTTTCAATCAAGCCCAGCGTCCGCGACGTACGCACCTCTCCCTTACCTTCGCAACACGGAGATGAAGTACCCTTGCATTCTTAACCAGACGTTGGCGCAGCCTATGCGGAGTGCGCTTAAGTTAGGCAATGCATTGTTCGTCCATTCAACTTCTTTAAAGCTGGACCGAGGTCGCACGCTGGCCTGCCTGCGAAGGTGGACACGGGCGCCGACATTCCGCCGGATGTCGAATATAGCTACGCACGAGGCAGCGTAGCCGCATACACGCCTCACATTATTATTCGTGCGTGCCCACTGTCCATTGTCAGTTCCCGCACACTATCAGCACGATTCTGCCAGGTGTTGACGAACGCAATGGCGCGCGATTCGGGAAGACACAGGCACGCCTTACGTCTCGACCCAAACTGTGGTGGTGGCTATTTTTCCAAACAAGTCAGGCTGGGTGGCAATCGTCCGCTGGGGGAGGCTCGCGCTCGCGCACGTCCCTCGTGAAGTGCGGTGTCCTTTCATCTTCTTTATGCGGCTGCACGTTCAATCCTGGCAATTGTACGCAAGCGAATAGCTCTCTCACCTGGGCATGCCGCACCGAACAAGCACCGAGCGCGACTTACGCAAGTGCTGACGGGCTCACGGAGGGTTTCTCGGTGGACCACATGGAAAATGCGGGGGAATTTAGCTGACTGATGGGGGCGGCGCCTGTGGGCCATCAACTAGTTTATGCGGCGCCGTGGGGAGCCACGGAAGGTCAACCGCGTCGCTGCTCGCCGCGGTTGCAGACCAGCTTTATTCGGGGGTTGCTCGGACATCTTCCTCAGCAAGAACGTTGGAACTTGGGTTAGATATAGCTTCCCCCGCTATTCTGGTGAGCATGCTGAATACGTGGTGGGAGAAGGAAGACTGACTAGATCTGCCGCTGCAGCCTGTCAGGTACGGGTAGGGCAGAACTTCGCCCGTGACTGTCGGGGATCATGGGGCTCCACTGGCAGTGCGGGTGTGCGCCTGTGTACGCATCATGTTGGATGGTATTCCAATTTACAGGGATCATAGCTGGTTAGCGGGTTAGGTCGGCGGTCATAGCGACATCTTGGTTCTCGAGGACGGCATGATGGAAGCGAACGACACACTGCCACCCGCGATCACTGGGAGAAGGTGTTGAGGAAACGTTGCCTAGTTTGGGAGCGAGAGGGATCGACACGAAGGAAGGCGAGGGTGTCGACACGCTCCTTGGCTGCTATTGCTGGAGGACTACTGCCGATGCTCGTCCGCAGAGCGGTGCGCGGCGGCAGGCTACCGGTGTGGGGAGAGATACGGCAAAGACGCTGAATGACGGTCAGCTGACGGGCATGCCGTATGATGCGACGAGTCATCTCGATCGTGTATTGCCGTCGGCGCTCGATCCACGAGCGGTGGTCGCCCCCCGATGGAGTGGATTCGACCAATCCAAGACCCATCCAATTCCCGCAGGCGTTCCAAAATGCACATCGAGAAATCGGTCAAGCAACGAGGCGAGAGGCCGCCGGCACGCTGCAGCTGGGAACGCCGCAAACCTGGTCAGCCTGCGCCATAAAACTCCCCGCGCGACCCGAGCAATTCCCGAACTCCCAACCACACTTCGAGTGGCCCGCCGAACGGTATGGCCGTCCTCCTCAGTGCTAGGCTCGCAGCCTTCGCGGCGATCCTATTCGTCGCGGTCTCGGGCCAGTCCTCTATCGAGGCATCCAGCGTGTACGCGTGGTCTGTTGCGGCTTCCTCTGTCGCAGTCTCTTCACCTGCCGCATCCAGTGTTGCTGCATCTTCTACGGCAGCATCCAGCGTCGCAGCTTCGTCCGCGCCGGCTTCCATCGCCTCTTCCGTCGCAGCATCCAGTTCTGCCTTCTCATCTGCTGTCAGTTCTGGTGTCGCATCCTCTGCGGCCTCTTCCAGTGCTGTTTCCTCTGGCGCTGCGTCAAGCACGGGCGCGACGAGTGGTGCCTCCTCTTCGGCTGTATCTTCAACCGCTTCCGCGTTGTCGACTTCTGCTTCTACTTTCACCGCAACCGCAACCACGAGCGGAGATGTGGGCGAAGTGTCCGGGGTGTCGTACACCGTCTCCGATACGTATACCATCTACGGCATCCCCGCGCCAACCGACCCGGCCTCCGTCGCGACGCGGCCCGCGAGCGGCGAGCCTCCCTACTGGAGCGGGCTGGGTACCGAAGTTGGTGCGTCCTCAGGCAGAACGCTTTCCGGGCTCCGCTGATGACGTCAATGCGCAGGCTGGCAGACTTGGTCCATCTCCTCGTACCAGTTCACGTCGTACCCGATCGCCTCCGCGAGCCCCGTCCCGCCGATCTTCCCGGACACCTCGCCACTCTACCCGCCTGCGGTAGCCAATGCTGGGCCGCAGGTGGTGCCTGACTTCTCTGATGCATGGGATGCAGCGTACGAGCGCGCGGAGGCGTTCGTCAGTACGCTCACGCTCGAGCAAAAGGTTAACGTCTCGACCGGTACCTTCTGGGAGCAGGGCCTTTGTGTCGGCAACATTGGCCAGGTCGGTGATTGGCCTGGCCTTTGTCTACAGGACTCGCCGCTTGGCGTGCGCTACACAGACTTCAACACCCTCTTCTCAGCAGGTATTACGACTGCCGCGACGTGGAACCGCACGGCGATCCGGATTCGTGGCCAGCAGATGGGCGAGGAGTTCCGCGGGAAGGGCGTTAATGTCCAACTTGGACCTATGATGAACATGGGGTGCGCTGTTATGCTAAATGGTTTGTGGGCTCGAAGCTGATCAGACTTTATTAAAGCCGTGTTGCACAGGGCGGCCGAAACTGGGAAGGCTTCGGCACGGATGCCTTTCTCAGCGGCGAGGCGGCATACGAGACGACGCTTGGTATCCAGTCTGCGGGCGTGCAGGCCTGCGCGAAGCACTACATCGACTACGAGCAGGAGTACAAGCGTACACAAGAGTCTTCGAACGTCGACGATCGCACCAATCACGAGATTTACCTCAAGCCGTTCCTGCGTGCCGTAATGGCCGGTACCGCGAGTGTTATGTGCAGTTACAGTATGTATCTTGTATTTGGGCTCCTTTGCACTAGCTGATTTCCTTCATTCAGATATGATCAACGACACCTACGCTTGCGAGAACGACAGGACACTGAATCAGCTCCTCAAGCAGGAGCTTGGCTTCCGTGGTTACATCATGTCGGACTGGGGAGGACAGATGAGCACTTTGTCTGCGATGGCTGGTCTTGATGTGCGTATCGGCCTCCTGCACACAAACTGTCACGCTGACAATTATGTCCTGTTATGATTGATATGCGAACGACCTCGATCGTGATCGATGCTGCTTGACCTGGCGTGTTACGCTCGTCTTTCACTGATGGATCGACACTTCAACTTTGACGTGTGCAGATGTCCATGCCGGGAGACATCACCCTCGGCTCCGGCAATTCATGG